GGTGGAAAGGGATGACTACTCTATGCTCATCTAAACGTTAGTATAAAAATGACTTTTTCGCACAAAACATGCCATTATATGGTATATCCTTTGCCATCACTTTCCTTATTATTCAATTGTGGTATATATTTAGTACTGAAGTAAAATAACCCGAATAACTCACAAACGCTTATCAAATACTATGAAATAATGGAATTCGTGGGCAAAGAGAATATATTCTATAATTTAGTGACTTTTTGTCAAGAGATCCAATCAAATCCCAATTCAATACATTGATTATTGCATTGAATTTCATCTTTCAATTGAATTCACTTTTTTCCTTCAATATCACAAACATGATTCATATTTATATTTTTATACAGTGTATTCAATTGAAATCATATGTTTTTCACACATCATTTTCCGTCCGTTTTACTACTGATCAACACCAATGAACTCCAGAAATCACAGGAACACACTTGTATTCATTTTCCATTTCATTCAAAATATATCTTATATTTTGCAAAGTTTTTTCATTTTCTTTCGAAACGTCTCTAACATTAAAATATAATGAAATAAAGCAAAAAAGATTTTCTATACTCACAAAAGAATTCAAAGTTTTTGATTTTGTCAACTTTTCCTCCAATATTTATATATTTATTTCCAAAGATTGAATCGCGAAAAGACCACTATTTTTAAGCAAAACTCTCGAATTGGGTATATATTTGAAATGGATTCTGTGACTCAGAAAATACTTTTTGACTTTTTAAAAGGAAATGAAACACAAATATTACAGATTTACAAAAGACTAACATATAAAGAAAGTTTTCATCGATTCATGAATTAATTAGTATTTCTCCTCAGAGAGAGAGAGAGAGAGAGAGAGAGAGAGAGAGAGTCCTTTGAGAGCGATTCCAACACTAAGAAAAAACATTGAATTCAAAAAATGGTTTTAAATTGAATTTAATTAACGTTTTTCTTAAGAAACGGAACATATTTTAAGCAAACATTTTATGCAATTAACTGTTTTATTGGGGAATAGTATTCCATATGTTATACAATATAAGTTGTAGTGATCCAAAATTGTGTGTTATTTTAATAGAAAAATATTGATTACAAGTAATTAATTATAACATAAAAACGAAGTGAAATAAAAGATTCAAGGTATCGATTATTTTAATGAAAAAGCTTTAACTTCTCGTAAATGGCTTTAATGAAGAAGGAGGTCCTGCTCTTGTGATCCACTTTAAGACATTTGATGATATCATCAAAAGGCGGGAATTTTTCTGATACATCGGAAACATTTCCTATAAAAGCTTTAACTTCTCGTAAATGGCTTTAATGAAGAAGGAGGTCCTGCTCTTGTGATCCACTTTAAGACATTTGATGATATCATCAAAAGGCGGGAATTTTTCTGATACATCGGAAACATTTCCTACAAAATATACGAAAACATAAACAAAATCAATGCTCAGCTCAACGAATAAAATACATTTTATTTTAATAAATAATTTAATTTTAAATATTTTATTATAGATTCAAAATTTGATATAAAAAATAACCAAAAACTAAGTAACGACTAAAAGAATAGCTTTGAAAATAAGAAAACAATTAAATATACCTTCAATTAAATACTGTTCAATGATTTGATAAAACAGTGTATTGTTGACGGCTTCTAATGGATTGTCTGAATCTAAATGTTGCCAACTATTCAATACAGAGACAAACACAATAGAAATAAATATAAAATAAAAGCAGAAATGGGAGCAAATGATGGCATTTAAGGCAAACCTGTCTCTACTGATAGCACTGCACAGAATGTTTGTAACAATTTCTCTGCTTTCAGTGGAATCGACGATA